GAATCTTCTGAATGTATAAAACAAGACTCTAATTAAAAGAGAATTCACATGTCACAGCTAATCACCAAATTAAAACACAGGTTTCCCCAGTGTCAACAAAATGCAAACAAGCTGCGCTTTTATGAAATACATTACAGCCCAGGACCTGTCTAACCTGCCCAGTCATACAAACAGACATCCAATACGACTGCCAGACAACCAGTTGCCTCGCAAACCAATATTAGCTGAAAAGCACAGCATCATCCATACATGTTATAAATAGGGGTCTCAGGGCAAAAAGTGCAGCCTCCCATGTTGACCGCTCAGGTGGAAATTTGAAGAAAATGAGGATAATTCACCGATACACTAGAGAGTGTAGTGAAATGAAAAACGTATTCGAAAACTCAGCTACAGTAGCCAAGCGGTGACTATAGTTGGTATCAAACCATGTTTCCAACTCTTATTTTCACCTACAATTTGCAATTTACTACAACTGTGTTTAAGGAGCAACGATAAAACATATTAAAATGCTTATACAAGAAAGCTAGGTGGACCTACCTAGCCCACCAATAATAGGTAATACCCTTAACCTACTTATTATGTAAAGAGACAACAACAGATCAGAGAAAAGGAATTGCAGCATCTCAAAACTATTTTACACAAACATTTATCATTTATGTATATTAAAAGCAGTGTCCAATACTAAGGGTTTCGGCAGACATGTAGTATGAAGTCTGGCCTCCTTTACATGTCAAGCTGCGAATTCTGAGAAGTCCTCCTCGGGCATAGACACTCGAGAAATCATGTTTCCACAACTATCCCAAAGCCCAACTTACAATATACAGGTGCTGCATAACAATAATTTTTGTTTATATATGTATATTATTTTATTTATTTTTTTATTTATTTTTTTTAAATGGTACATCTTGCAAAGTTTGACCATCAGTGACAGTCTGTTTTTAGTTACAATCATTTTGCAAACATCCCATACACCCACAATAGCATACAGTTTCTGACAAGGGGCACACATTTGTCCGATAAATAGGGTAGGTGTAGAAAGTGTTCCCAGTATAAATAAGAGGTATATTTTTTTTCTCCATTTAAAGGAACACAGTATTTTTTCGCCTTTCAGTTTTCCTTTGTTTATGCCCTATGTATCTTCATTATTACACATCCCCTGTTGCCACTTGCCTTTTTTTATATTTATTAGTTTTTCTTCTTTTAGATGGATCTCAATACAGTGGTGCGACATATTGTTCTCCCGTGCCCATATGCCTGCAGTTTGTTTGACTGATGGATTGTGGGTAAATGGAACTTTGCTTAAGCTCCGCATGAGAAAAAGTATCCCCTACAACTTTTTATGGATAACTAAAAAACTAGGGTGAATTTAAATAAAAATTCAAACCAAAGAGAAAGGGAAACCAGATTAATTCAAAAGCAGATCTTACAAAGTAACAGAGCCACTTTAAGAACTGTAGAGGTCACAGTAGGTAGTGTATCATGTAGGTAGTGCAGCCTTTTTAATGTGTTACTATGCAGTGTTTACTATTCCACTTTTATTCTGCAAACAGCTGTGTTGTCCACGTAATATAAAACTGGAGAGTTCGGTTGCTTTTGCCCCCAAGGTTATTTGCACTCAATGACACATACCTGTCAAGCAACTCCCATGGATAATGGCTGAATAAAATACAAAGAGGGTAGGGAGGTGGCGTCTATTGTCTTGGACTCTTACGAAAGCCACAGCTTGTGTCATCAGGGTTTTGTTAAGGAAATGAGAGAAGCGAGATACATTTTCTAGGTAGCAGAAGCCCAAAGGATTTTTCATAATTCTACTGGAAGTGTGCCTAACGATGCAAAGAATTTCACTATACAGGAGCAACAGGCAATATTTGGCACATCGATGCTGTAGACAAACATTAAAATCACGCTTGACATGCCATAAATAGGGGAAAATCTACAGATTCATAGAGCAAGGTAGTGCCTGGGGATGCCAAACCCAGATCACAGGTGTGACCGCATGTAACAAGGGGGCATCCCTACTTTGTACAAACAGACGTATTCACAAAAAATTGCAACTGGGGAAAATTTACCAAAAACTGCAGAATTTGGGGAATGGAGTTGGAGAATTTTTTGCAGCTTTGTTTAATATTTACCTTGTCAGTTCTCCAAAGTTTAATAAATAACACCCAACCTCTCCTCCCTCCCCCCCAAAAAAAATAAATAGAATAAAACACATCAAGTGTTTCAAGTTTTTAAACAGTGTCTCTAGAACTCTTAGTAATCCCCATCAACCTGCAGCTGCTGCACACTGTGACCCCTATTACTGCCTGCCAGTCTCCCAGCCCTAGGTTCTGGATGATAGTAGCTGTAACTCTGACTCTCTGCCAGCCCCTGCGTGTTACCATAACACTCTCAGCCATCACTGTTTGCCGTGAGTCTCCACGTGAAGCTATGTACTAAACGAGTGACATTCCAGGCATGTCATGAAAGAATTTCTCCCTCAGACCAGGAAAGCCAGAACGGTCTGCCTGAAACTCAGGAGCAAAAAGCACAATATGATTGACATTTTAGCATGTATACAGGAGGTTCTGCAGCAGCAGCGTTATTATTTCAGCACCACAGACTTTAGTGAGCAAACTCTTTTCACCAGAACAGTCTCTTTTTGTCTTTTCCCATCACCCAGCTGCCCTAATCTGCTTGTCATTACAGTGAGGTTTCTACCAGACAGATCACTGGGGTTAAACAATGCAGCCAGTCAGATAGGGAGCTGGCCAGGAGCTGGCTCAATTCTCAGGGTTTCAGTTTAAAAATGAAAACAATATTATATCACTGGATACAAAATCTACAAGCCAACACAGAAAGCAAGTGGTAACACCTAGCACCCAGCCCTGCTACATACCTCCAGCTATAAAAGTCACTCATACAATACCCGTTAATTATCCTACATGTAGGAGAACTTTTTATAAAGCAGCTCTGGGCGTGCACTGCTATTGTTTAGTCTGCAGGAACTTGTATGCAATTAATATCTGCCTGCAACCAAGCTAATGACATGTGAGGAGCAAGACAAACAGATCCATAACAGCCAACAAACATTCATGGTACAGCACAGGGGCTTCCATGATAGAATGCGCCAGGCACAGGGGCTTCCATGACAGAATGCGCCAGGCACAGGGGCTTCCATGACAGCCCGCGCCAGGCACAGGGGCTTCCATGACAGCCCGCGCCAGGCACAGGGGCTTCCATGACAGCCCGCGCCAGGCACAGGGGCTTCCATGACAGAATGCGCCAGGCACAGGGGCTTCCATGACAGCCCGCGCCAGGCACAGGGGCTTCCATGACAGAATGCGCCAGGCACAGGGGCTTCCATGACAGCCCGCGCCAAGAGGCACAAATTTCCCAAACTGTCATGGAAGCCCCCTGTGCCTGGCACATATTGCCATGGAAGTTCCTGTAAATAGGGACATACCATAATGGAAACCCCCTCACCTGGTACTTACTGTCGTGGAAACCCTGTAGCTGTTACATAGTATCCTGTTACCCCCAGTACTCACTGTCATGTTACCCCCAGTATTTACTGTCCTGTTACCCGCAGTACCCGGTACTCACTGTTACCCCCGGTACCCGGTACTCACTGTTACCCCCGGTACTCACTGTTACCCCCGGTACTCACTGTTACCCCCGGTACTCACTGTTACCCCCGGTACTCACTGTTACCCCCGGTACCCGGTACTCACTGTTACCCCCGGTACCCGGTACTCACTGTTACCCCCGGTACCCGGTACTCACTGTTACCCCCGGCACCCGGCACTCACTGTTACCCCCGGCACCCGGCACTCACTGTTACCCCCGGTACCCGGCACCCACTGTTACCCCCGGTACCAGGTACTCACTGTTACCCCCGGTACCAGGTACTCACTGTTACCCCCGGTACCAGGTACTCACTGTTACCCCCGGTACTCACTGTTACCCCCGGTACTCACTGTTACCCCCGGTACTCACTGTTACCCCCGGTACCAGGTACTCACTGTTACCCCCGGTACCAGGTACTCACTGTTACCCCCGGTACCCGGTACTCACTGTTACCCCCGGTACCCGGCACTCACTGTTACCCCCGGTACCCGGCACTCACTGTTACCCCCGGTACCCGGCACTCACTGTTACCCCCGGTACCCGGCACTCACTGTTACCCCCGGTACCCGGCACTCACTGTTACCCCCGGTACCCGGCACTCACTGTTACC